ATATCCTACATTCTCGGTATTACTCCAAATGTTTGCATATTTCCGCTGAGCGTTCCAATTTTATTAAATTTGTTTTGTTGTTGCCGGCAATTTCATTAAATTCTGCTGAAATAGACGCCACTCGCAAGATACATGCAATGTAAAACACATAAAATTATTGAAAAAAATGGTGCCATTCAAATGGGAAATTTGAATTGCATTCAATTTGTTTGATGTTCCAATCTAACCAGTTTTTTGTTCTGTGTGGTTTTGTAACGCAGTGTTTAGCTCCTACCATGTGGCTGTCATGCTCATGCATGCATTTCACTTCATATCATTACTATACGGCTTAGATAGCAGCCGAATTAGTCTTTTTTTCACGTTAGCGAAAGAGAGAGAGAGAGAGAGAGAGAGAGAGAGAGAAAGAGAGGAAAAAAGCGTGGCACGAATTTGAAACGAATCCATGTCCATGAAAATGAGCGATAATTGTGTACAAAGCTACAGTTTTTCTTTCACTCCCATTTTTTGTTCTAAAAGAAAAAGAGGTCACGCAAAGCTAATGCGAAAAAAAAACTATCGCTTAAACAAAGCCAAAAACTCCAGCCATAATTTATCAACATGTTCTGGGTTGTAAATTAAAACTTTGCTCTCATTTTGTGACGGCACCAGAGTTTTTGTCTATTCTCAGTTTTTGCCTATCGCACAAGGAACGAATGAGAGTGGAAAAAAGACGGCTTTGGCTTACCGCGTTGGCAAATGACAGATAAACTCTGTACAAAGAGAACACATTTATTATATATATATATATATATATATATATATATATAGGTTGAAGATGTAAAAGGGATAATAAAATCGGCGGTGAAAACTTGCTGTATGACAGTACGAAGGCGGATAGAACTATGCAAAGAGAAAATATTTATGAAACACTTACATCAAAATGGCTTCGTCAAGCAAATTAATTTGAATGGAATGTAGTGTGTGTAAGCAAATGAGATAATATTTTCATGTAAAATTAACGATCCATACCACCCAAATGCATGCCACTTTTTCAAATCGATCTAATGTATGGCAGTTTTCTGTCTTGTTGCTATGTGGCTTGGCATTTGGAAATTGTGAATTAAGTAGGAAATAAAAAAGGAAGATTCATTTTCTCCACATTGGTGCCACTACAACACAAACACACGTACAGCGTAGCTTTTGTGTGGGTTGTTTCAATGACAACAAAAGAGCTTTGAAAAGTATTAAACTTTCTTCTTGTCATGCCGCACACATACACACAGCACATTTCAATCATTGTTTCAGCTGAGTTTGAAAAAAATTAAATTGGTATTTTATGAGCGTTCACTTAAGCTCAAGAGGTTTTTCGAAGAATGAACGAGGGAACAAAAGATATCAACACACACACACACACACTAGAAATAAGATCTTTGAATAGAAACGGATCTTTGTTGTCAAACTGATTCTACAACTGGCTTTCAACCATTTTCATCGAGGTATTATTGAAAATGTTGTCCTTGATGAATGATAAAATAAATGTTATTATTCGACCGAAGAAAGTCAATTCCTTTCGTTTTCTCCGGGGAAACAAAAAAAAACCCGTACAGAAAAGAGCTCTAACGACTTGGAATGCATTGAAAGTCGGTCGAATACCCATATTTCAGCTCCCAATCCGCTCGCATGCATAGCAAAAGAAGCACAACAGCAACAGCAGCAGCAACAAAGAATAACCAGCGGTATATTTGCTCAACTAGGTCATAGCGTGATGGCTTGAAATATGTTATTCTAAACTACTTTGACCGATGTTTATTACGAGGTTTTGGCTCTGAGGAACTCCTTGTTTCTGTGCTCGAAAGCAAAAGTACTTGTTACGCAATTCGATTATTGGAGTGCTTTGAATTTTTTGGCTTGGGTCGCATCGTCCCAATAATGTCAAATGACAAATGAGCATTTCTCGAAGTAATGAACGTTGGAAGCAATCAATTGAATGCTGAACGAAAACAAAGGCATGTACCAATCGAATGGCACTTCGAATGTCAGAGCAATTTCTCAACCAAAGTCCGTTTCTTCTCTGTGTCATTTGTTGTTCGTTTCGCTTCATCTTTATTGACCGATAAAAAAGCGATATATCGGTCGTTTTGATGTGCTCTTTTTTATGTACCGAAAACCATTTCCATTGGCTGGGTATTCTAGTTTTGTGAAAGGATTTTCCGACAAAAAAATAATAAGTGACATAAAAAGAGCGAACACACAGAAGAAAAAGCAGCAACAACACGCTTGTTGGAAGAAGTATTTGGCGTGCATCTGCTGTTTGATGACTGCTTCACTATATATTTAATGTCAAGAAAATGTGTGAATTAATAAATCATCAATGTCGAAGCAAAGTCTCATCGTGTGCCACACGTACAAATTGATTTGCCAAGTGAAAGTTCATTTTTATCGAGAAGCTCAAAGAAAAAGCAGAGACCGATTTTTTTTTATCCATGAACAAAACAAGCAAGTAGTGATGGCCCCATCATATGCTCCGTATTTTAGCACACCTTTTTTGTCTTGACCTGTCTTCGTCAAACAGAACGAAAAAAAAAACACAATTTGTCTGACGTGTTTGAAATGCGAAAGCAACGTGTTTTTGTTTGTCGAACACCGCACGCCCGTTTGCCTGCGCGATTCGAATTGTGTGGTTCAAGCAATTGCTTACGAAACACATATATACAGCAAGTGAACAAATTGCACATATGTTTGCTTGGCAACCGTAAATGAAATGCAATGAGCAAAAAAAGGCACCGACAGAACTGTAAACGTTCTACATTGGAATGGTGAGCCCAATAAAAATAACAAGCGTTGCACAGATGATGAATGCAGCGTTGGTCTCATAACCGGAGCGAAAATAAAAATAAAATGCAAACTGCTGCAAAGAAACGCGAACAAAAACAAATAGTAAATGCGGGCAAACGAAAAGAGAAGCGAAAAAGATACACAACACCATACAACAAATTTGTTTCTTTGTTTAACGATGAAAACGAGCAAAAGACAAAAACAATGTCATAAATTTAGATTACATCCTTTGTATAATGACTGTACCATGATCGACTGATATAAATGGACGTACCGATGGAACGACGCTTCAATAATGAATGCGTTAAAAATTCTTGTGCGATACAATGAAACCGAACACACTCAAAGACCTCGCACCGAAGTCCAATCAAACTTTTTCAATTTTTTTCTTTTAAATATATGCGTGGCGGTGAACAACTTACCTTCCGCGCAAATGAATCATATCCACTTAATTCCAATCATTTTTTTCAAAAGTAAATTCAAATAAACACTCACCGATTCATTTCCATTTTGTTTCTGTTGAAAATATGTATTCTTCCATTCTGTTTTTTTACTTTCTTCCTTCCTTTCCTTCTTTTCTCTCTTCCTCTCTTTTTTCTCTATCTCTGTCTCTCTTTCCCACTGTTTTTGTTTCTTTTCGAAGAGTTTGTTGCCCGCTGAAGACAACTTCATATTTCTTTGCACAAACTGAAATCCATTAATTTGAGGATTCTATTTGCGAAAGTTCAAGAGTTTATCGAAAGCGAGATAGAAAGATAGCGGCAGTCAGAGTTAGGGTGAGAGAGAAAGGAAAAACTTATATAACATAAGATGTTCAAGAATTGAAATGTCGTTTCGTGCACGCGAAAAATTGGTTTGCGAATTAAATTTTTGCCACCCGAAAGAAAAATGATTTGATCGTGTGCGACCCGGATTCTCTAAGCGCACGCAATTTTTATGGAAATTGACGGCGCGCATGAGAACGATAAACAGAGCGAAAAAGAGAAAAACAAGCTGTTTTCCCATCCTTATGAGCACGGCATGTGCACAAGCACGAGCACACATTGCAAGGGAAATTCACACAAATTTAAAGGACGAACATGTACACTTTATTTGCGCGCGCTATACGTAATTTCGGTTGAATAAACACCACGACTAGCAAAACATAACAACAACAACAAAGGTGTTAAAGGATATTCCATCCTGTTCAATCACATATACGCAGAGAGTACGTGCGGATTATTGTGGCAAGCGTGTTGAATGTGCTGTCGAATTTTCGCCCAAGCCTTAAGGGACATATTAACTTTTGTACCCTCAATTCGAAATGAGTGCAATTTTTGGTAGTGTCCATTACAGCTGAAATGTGCAAACACGAACACGAGAACAAGAAGAGCTTGTACTTGGGCGATGACTCATCCGCATTTCTCAACTCTGCCAGTTCAATGTTTCGTGTCAATGCACGGCATTGTAAACATTTGTACAGCGCAATTCCTCCGTCTGTTAAGCAAATAACAATAGAGCAGCAATAAAAATGGTATCAAGGAACTTGAGTGTTGTTGTTTTTCGGGTTTGAGTTTGTCAAACGCATTCAAAATAATATAGAGGGGTTGCGCTTGTATTCAATGCAGTTTGGTGTGCGTTCACCAGTTAGGTATATTTCGGTGCGTTTGTGCATGTGTGTGTGTGTGTTGCGAGTCTATGAATTGTGCGTGCATGCGGAATGTTAGGGAAGAACACAATTGTTTATTTCCGTTGCTGCGTACATTTGATTCGCTCACTCTCATCCGATGGGCTTGATGGACTCCTTATGCATTTGTTTCATTCGCACGCACAGATTTACCTTCGTATTTTGCAATCAGCCGAATTTTGTGGCCTGCTTTGTGTCAAACGCATCCAATTTGTTGTTGTTGAGCATTTGGCGTGAGTGCGTGCGTTCCATGCGTTTTATCGATTTTAGTCTTGTTTATATTTTGGTGGCGTTTAAAAGCCATCACCAAAATCTGTGCATTTGTTCATCAAAGTGGTTCCGTTTTGTTCCTTTTTTCACATTCGAATCATAACCAATAATTTTAGCTCTATTTCGCCACTCCGATTATTTCTCAGTCGATTTTAAATAATAAGTAACCATATTATTGTTAGTATTAGAAGAAAAAAATGTGCCGCAATAATTAAATTCTAATTTCTCTTTCTTTTGCTTTCTATTACAGGGTGGCTATCCAGCTCGATTGAAAAAAGTATTGATTGTGACGGCACCGTTGTGGTTTAAGGCGCCATTCAAAATATTACGTTTATTTGTGCGAGAAAAATTGCGCGAACGTGTATTCACCGTGTCAATTCCACAGTTGAGTTTGCACGTACCACGAGACAGTTTGCCAGTCCATCTGGGTGGTACGCATCAGATAAATCATTCCACATGGTTGCTAAATTGTCAAAAATCGATGACGAATCGTGAAGACGAACACACAGCCAGCAGCATTGGTGAGCAGCTGCCATCGCAAGCGTCACCAATCAAAGAGATCAATTGCAGCGTGGCCAGTAGCAACAGTGTGAATGGCAACAGTAATGGCAGCACCGATGACGTTGAATTAGTTAGTGTTGTTGATCAACAGCAGCAATTGAACAATCAAAATAATGCCGACAATGCAGCAAAAGTACACGCCGAGAGCAATAATGATGACACAGCACTGGTTGTTAGTAATGGTGAGCCGATAAGCGAAATGTGGTCTGAAAATCCACCGAGCAGTGCATCGTCCGGTTTTAGTGACGATGATAGCTTAGCATACACCGAAGGCGATCCAAAAACCGGCGAACAAATCGTTCAAATGGTACGGGAACGGGGCCGTGATGGTTTGGCCAAAGAATATTCCGAAATTCGTTCACGTGCACCGGACGGAACGTTTCAACAGGCTCGAGTTCGGGCAAATTTGGCGAAAAATCGGTACACGGACGTTTTGTGCTACGATCACAGCCGAGTGATTTTATCCAAACAGAACGATGAGACCAACTCGGATTATATAAATGCCAACTTTGTTGATGGTTACAAACAGAAAAATGCATACATTTCCACGCAAGGACCGTTGCCGAAGACATCTAGCGATTTTTGGCGCATGGTATGGGAACAACATTGCCTAGTGATTGTGATGACCACACGCGTTATGGAGCGTGGCCGAGTGAAATGCGGCCAATATTGGGAAACTGATGTTGGTAGCGTTGCACAGTACGATAATTACTGCATCAAAACGACCCATGTCGATTCAAAGGAGGACTACACCGTCGTATCGCTAGAGCTTACTAATATAAAGGTGATTAATTGTTTTGAGCATTATTTTCGTCTTTTTTTCCTGGATTTGCTCACTAATGGCTTTCTTTTCTACTTGCAGACTGAAGAAACACGAAAAATATCGCATTGGCAGTTCACAAGTTGGCCAGATTACGGTGTACCCACATCCGCAATGGCGATGTTAAATTTCTTGCAGAAAGTCCGTGAACAACAAGCAGAGATGGTCAGAGAGCTCGGCGACACATGGGCTGGTCATCCGAAGGGACCACCAATTGTTGTTCATTGTTCTGCAGGCATCGGAAGAACTGGTACGTCTTAATGTCTCAGGCTCAACTTTAGTTGAACAAACGAATAACCAAACAAATAGCGCATGCATTCGGAACAATATCAAAATTTTCTATTGTGACAGCATTAATAATTTATCTCAAATTTCCAGGTACATTCATCACACTAGACATATGTATAGCTCGTTTGGAGGATGTTGGTACGGCCGATATCAAAGGGACTGTAGAAAAAATTCGATCTCAGCGCGCCTATTCAATACAAATGCCGGATCAGTACATTTTCTGTCATTTAGCTCTAATCGAATATGCGGTATCCAGGGGTATGCTGAAATCAGCTGACTTGAGTGGATTCGATGATCGGGAAGAGGATTCCGAGTAATAGATTCACCAGCATGCAGAGTTGAATCGACTATTTAATGATAAAAAGAAGAAGAAAAAAATTAAACAAATGGACGAAATCTGTTTAGAATATTTCTAAACACAGTTCAACAATACATGACTAAATACCGAATCGAAAATCGCATCTTCATTTTACTAAATTCACAATCGAGTTATATAAGTGAGATACTGCATGCGATTGTAAAGTGATTAGGGTGTGACAAGAAAGTAAGAAGCAAACAGAAGAGAAAATCATTAGGAAATTGTTTATCAAGTGATTCGGAATGAAGTGATTTTCATTTCATAGTTGTACAAAGAAGCATTTTAAAGCTCTAAATCACTTAAAATGTAACTTCAGATTTGTAATTTATTTAAAAAAAAAACACACACGCATACAACAAAAACAAAAAGCTCATATCATATCGAACCTCCAATATTCGATGCAGATATTGTTTTGAGAGATGAAAAGTAAGGGAGAAAAAGAGAAAGAAAGAAAGAAATGGTGATTATTTCTTTTTCGTAATAACAAAAGTTTTATTTTTTTGACTTTTTTTTTAATTAGAGCTACACTCCATCAGCTCTGTTTAATTTTTGGAAATTCTTTGTATGGCCATAACGAATGACATCATAGAATAATTCTTTTTTTTTATTTTAACATAATCGACATGAAATATTACTCTAATTAATTGTAATACCCTTAGACCAAGTTTTTTTTTGTTCTCATCAATTGTTACACATGAATGAAAAGAAAAAAACACGTAATGAAAAATAACAATAACTGTATTTATTTTGACATGAAAGAAATTTATTATCAACAGAGCAAGAGCAAACCAGAAAATTTAATCAAATTTGACATGAATATTGGATAGCCAATCGAATGATCGATTGACCATTAGGACTGTAGCAAGAATTGGAAATGATATGAAAAATGGAACAAAAGAAACAAAAAAATGCCGAAAATCAATGTTAAGATTAAATACATTCAAAACAAAATGAAAAATCATGAATAAACTGTATTTTTTAGGATAAAATAATGGGAGTATCAATTTGGATTTAAATGAACCTACACAATAACAAAAAAATTGGTGTTTTCGCTTTATCTTCGATTCTATGAAGAGATTCCTTATGTATGTTCTTGAGGTTTCTTGATTCTCTGGCACCATACCCAGAAATGTATTTCCAATGTAATGGTTTTTTTGTCTCATTTTCTAAACTTTTTTTATTGCAAGTAAACCGTACTTTTTACGGTTGCCCGCCATTTCCTTCAAACAAACAAAAAAACACCACCGTTCTCACACGATTCAATATAGTGTTTACAGCTATTTGAAAAAACGAACGATTTTATATATTTTTATAAACCATACCAGCAGCTTAATCAACCAGCGAATCATTAAACGAAAGTAAAACCAAACAACAAAATGAAAAATTAACACAAAAGTCGCCAAATGCTCAAGTTTATTCAGATTTATGTTTCGATGAATCATTCAATATTGAATCGATGAATATTCATCATCATTGTGTCACCAATAAAATAACACAATTTTTAAAACAAACATCACACACATAGAGTGTTCTAGTAGAACGATGTTCTACATGTACATGACAGAAAACCAAAATGTCACACGGTTCAAAATTTCATAAAAATATATATAGAGAATAAATTCGTATTTAAATGCTTTCAGATTCAAACTTTTAGATAGTGTCTATACAAATTTGCAAAATTCTTTGCATGGATTTTTTTTTCTTTTCTACAAAAAAATAAGTTGTTCCCGGTGTTTGGGAGGCCCTTTAGCAAATGCAATGGATATTTATTTCTTCTATGGCACATTAACTGTTTAAATGTGAACAAGAAAAGAGAAAAAATGGAGAAAAATTGTAGAAATTTGTTCATTTTGAAATGTGTCTAGCAAAATGTTTTGTGAAATCGGTTGAAATTGAAAATTCACGATTCTTTTTTTTCGGTTAGCAAAGAAGGCTGTTCTAACAACAACAACAACAAAAATATTAAATTATTAATTTAGACAATTTTTTTTGCAATTTTTGTCGGCTGTTTTTGGAACAAGTTTTTTTTTTCTTCAAGTGAACCTTTTTCGGTTCCAAACAAAAAGAAATGGAAAGAAAAATGCATTTGTTTTATTTTTTAAATGAAACTGCAAACTAATCCGTCGTAAAGAGAGAATATTTTTTCTAGAAATTCATTTTTTCTTCTTAGTAGAAATGGTAAAATATTGTTGAGCACATATAGCAACTGAAAAACGCAACCAAAAGATAAAACATAAAAAAATCAGAGACACACACATACACTTGCAGTTAACATATTTAGTTTAAATGAAATAAAATATGCGCAAGAAACAGAACATAAAAATATTGTTGTACACACTTGAATTTATGTAAAAGGAAAATAATTCTGGTCTGTTCTTGGGACAACTAAAGTCATTCTTTCGATTGCCAACCGAATGAATGATCGCAACGAGTAACAACAATTGTGTTTCTTTTTTTTTATAAATATCTAGTATATCGTTCGAGTCGAAAGCGAAGCACATTTTTAATGCTAGCATTAAATGAACTTTCATTAGACGCAGTGCTTCTATTTTTCACTTCTCATTCAATCCGGTATTCACTCATACTGAATGCTTCTTCCACAAAACATGCACAAAAGACAACAATATTCACATCGCATTTTTTTACCATTCTAACGAAATAGAATTGAACGAATAGTTGCTTACTAGAGCCGATAGATTAATGCATTCAATAGAATACAGCGTTGGTTTGTTTTTGATTCGGCAAACATGCTCATAACCATATTTATAGCTCACAGACAATTTCATGAGCAGTTGACAAACAAAATCAGAATAAAATATATAGATGAATTTACCTTTTGTCACACCGGCTTCAGACAATTATCGATGACTATCGTTCTCAATACATTAAATGTCTTCATGTTATTTGTAAATGATGATGAGTCAACAAAGGAATGAATATTTTTTCAGAGACACACACACACAACTTCTTAATCCAAAAGCGAAACAAAATACTATTTGACATTTATGTAAATGATTTACAGTTATTGTTTTAGACAAATTACACCCTCTCCAGTTGTGATTGGACTAGATTCTTTGATGATACAAGAAAAACACATACAAGAAATAAATGGAAAGAAATCGTATCCGAAAACGATATTACAATCGATGTTTCATTTCAATGTCTTTTATTTTAACAGGCTTTTTACTCATGTGGTGACAATGGTTATGATAATTGTGAGTAGATAGAATATTTTTTTCGATTCGGACTTAAATCTAACATAGTTTACACTTTTCGATTTGATTTTTCAAATTTTTCTTTTTTTTCGTTTTACTAGTACACTCTAGTGCTCTCTTGTTTTATGTTTTTTTTCTCAATTTCTGTTATGCAAATGTGTTTCAAAATTGAAATGGAAAATGAAATGTTCAAATGGAAACTAAGCAATTCTGAACAAACATACGTTTCGGATGGTTTAGCATCTCAGCATTTCGTATGCAGCGGATATATCCGAGCATATCGAAGACGCAAGTCACTGTATAAGATGCTAAACCATCCGAAAACGTATGTTTGATTCCGAATGACTGAGAAAAGTGAAAAATTGTCGGTGAAAAAATTGACAATGTAAAAAACAGAAATTCGTAGTACTTCGTTATGACAAATCAATTAAAGAGTTGCTGCTCTTTCACTTCAATAATTAAAATGTAATCTGGACCTGGCCGCCATTACAGTATTCCGTTTTGACATCCTTCAATTTTTTTGCCAAATGGGACACCTTCTTGTACAAGTGTGCCGTGACTTCAATAGCATCATCATCAGTCGCTTCTTCAGTTCGATGGTATTTGACAAAGTGTTTCAGCGCCGAGCCAAATGTTGCGACCTTCAAATACACTTTGCAAATATTGCATTGGATTTTTCGGAATGTGACTTCAGTGACAACGGTTGGTGCGTTGGTTGTACGCTTAACGTGTTGATAACGGAATCGACTGTCACGATGATCATTCAACAGATGGTTCGAAACCTCTTTCAGGCTGTAGTAAACATCATCGCACACGTTACCGTCACTAACGCCTTTGCACTGGAACAAATCCTCATTGTGTCGACACAAATGGGCTGAAGAGATGTATTGACCGAAAAGCCGTATACCATCCACTTTCATTAATTCACCGCAGAAGCAAGTGTATTCAAAAACTTCGCTATGCTTTTCATCGAAATGTTGCACGAACTCTTGCTCATTTTTGCATTTCTTCGAGCAAATGGTGCACTTGAAGCGCTTTGCTGGTCCGACCATTTCGAATTCGGTTGCGATTTTCGATTGAATTGGATTCGGGCTTGCGACAAGCATCACCTTTTTGTAATGATAACCTTCAATCACATTGCTTTCATGGTATTTATGCTGTTTCACGAGGTGTTTGCGCAGACGATCTTGACTGATTTGCACGAAATTGCACTTACTACAGATATACCCAGCCAGTGAACCATCTGTAGCATTTTCGTCGTAAATACTAACGGGTGTGCCACTGCAATTTTTGTGATCGAGCATTCGTTTTGCTCCGAAATGGCAAATATCGCAGCTGTACAAAAACTCTCCGGTGTGAATCAGCAAATGATCCATAAAATCTCGTTTCGTCATGGTTTTTTCGCCTTCGCAGAAGTAACAAATGCCCTTAATTTTGTTGTTGCTCACTTTGAAGTTGTCATTTTGCGATAGTAATTGTTCAGCCATTTTCGGTGATGGTCGAGAAATCAACACTTCGTGGTCGGGATGTTCTTTCATATAATGACGAACCATGAATTGCGATTTGGCGTCGCATAACGCGCACAACTTTCGGTATAAATCGTTCTGGGCGTGCATATTCTTATCCGTATTATTCAGCTTTGTGTTTGTGTTGTCCTTCTCTTGACGTTGCAAATCACGTCGGGATGAGACCGTTCGGCGCAAGTTTGAGCGACGTTTTTCCATTGCCTGTTCAAGTTTTGATGTTTGTGACGTCATTTGGTCCAGTTTTGCGGGAGAACGATCATTTCCTGAATGAAGTAGAAAGAATGATGAATCAATTATTTGAATAATGATGGAAATCGTATGTACCTGAGCGAGAGTCGCTATCACCCATGCTGGATCTACGCTTTGATGCTTGTTTTAATCCATGTTTCAATTCATGTTTCGATTCTGACTTCGCCTGAGCCATTCGATTACTTTCACGAGATTTTTGTTCACGCGACGGTTTCTCCTCACAATGAGCCTTTCGTTCGGACCGTTCAGCCATGCTGCATCTTCGTTTAGGCGTTGGTTTCGATTCCGAGTCGTCTTTACCCAGACGATCGCCCATACTGAATCTTCGCTTAGACGGTGGTTTCTTTTTAGGACTTTCTTCAGCCTCCCCTTTTGCCGGTGTAACAAAATCATGTTCATTCGATTCATTTCGGCTTTCCATTGTGGTTGTTGTTGTTGTAACGACCTCTTCTCGAATGCCCATTTGATATAAGCCACCTTCAACAGCCTGAATCACTAAATGTTGCGTCCGTTGGTGATGATGTGTCACAACCTCACTTCTGATGAACGGAGCATCGTTGCCATCTTCATTCGTAGCTGTGCCACAATTCAACGTACTTCCATCATTTTCATTATCTTCTTCGACATAAAGGGCCGAATGTTCGCTATCGCAACATGCATCGTGCTTATTTTCCGCCTGTTTCTTCATGGTGCTATTGAAAATGTCCGACACTGCATTTCGAACGACTTCGTCAAATTCATTCAACACATTGGGTTTATTCGATTCAACACCACTCATTTCATCCGGACTTTGTAAACCTTTCGGATTGGTGTCACCATTCAAAGCGACACATTCATCCTTATTTCCAATGTCGCCAAACGAATCCGACTGATTGTTTGCATCTTTTGGCTCCTCCACTGTTGGCTCTTGCGTTGCGGTGTTGCTGTGTTGATCCAATTTCATCATTTCTTGCCATACTCGCTCGAAATTGTTGATCGAACTAATGCGAATGAAACGGGCGATATTAATGCTAACATAAAAGGCGAGAGAATTTCAAATTTCCAGCTCGAATTACCTCGTCAAAATGGCTGAAAAATCCGTCGATACCGGTCGCAATTTCACATTGTTCTCGACAGCGGACAAAATAGTTTGGTATAACGTTTGGCAATGTTCCGTAAATGCTTCACACGACATTTTGCTTTAGAGTTCTAAAGGGCGGGAAAAATGATACTGATATTGAATCTTTGCTTTTGGGTTGAAAAATTAAATACAAAAAATTTGCGGGTACCTTCCATAGAAATTTTCTTATTTTCTTCATAAAATTGGAAAAAACAGACCAAATTTGTATGGGAAGTACCCGTAAATCGCTTTCGATTGGCTTCAAAATTTCAGGGATTGAGTTTTTTTTGGTAAAAAAATCCAAAAAAGATCCAGAAAGTTTAATGACGTTTGGAATATCACAAATGAGATTTCTATTGGGATTTTACTTTCATGGTTTCATAAAAAACTCATTTACCTATCTAAATCTTGTGCTGACCTGAAAACCCCATGGACAAGCCACAAATATGGCTTTTGGTGCTTGATTTGAAGCTGGCTAGAAGTTTTGGATGGGCACGGGCAGACTGTCGAAAAACAAGATTTCCCAAAACAATTCACCATAATGTGAAAGTGAAATACTGAGGGTTTCCGTAAACTGATATTCTTGCCTATTTGAACCCAAAAATGGTCAGAAGCGCTTGCTTTTTATTACTGATTTAGATTTTTTGGATCATTTCCCACAACTTTTGCCTTATTTGACCCACTGTTTAACGTGAAAAATTCTTAAATCACGCATTTGAAAATTAAATGTTGAGAATACGAAAAATGATATTTTTTGCATATTCGGACTCAAAAAACGTACAGAGTGGTTGGGTTTTTTGCTGATTTAGAATTTTTCGGTCATTTTCAACAATTTTTGACTTATTTGCAACATGGTTTTGCGTGAAAAATGCTTAAATCCCGCATTTGAAAGTTAAATCTTTAGGATTTAACAAAATTCGGGAAAATCACGATTTCAAAGCCCCATAAAGCATATCGAGTGTACTCATAAGATCAATTTTTCTTGTTTTCGACCAAATTTTATGCTTTGACTTATTACCAGACTTATTAGCTTTCATTTTTTGGCCGTTTTCGCAAAGTTGAAAATTAAATTTTTGGATTTAATTAAATCCGAACCACTTACAACGGGCATAACAAGGATTGCATATTGAGTGACGGAAAATCCAAATATCCATTTATGAATATAGTGTTCAGTTTAGTTACGTTTTAAAAACAACAAATTCAGAGGATACTGTGGTACATTTGTTTCCAATGGCATGATGTGAATCGCATCATCGTTCAAACAACCAAGAATTATCCGTATCGAATTTCGATTCAAAGAACTGTTTTGTTTATTTATCACACAGACCGAAATTTATGAGCGAATAAACATCGATTATAATCACATATTTGCATCGCAAGCAACGACGAGATTGAAAGTGTTGCCGTTATGTGCTGATGATGTGATTGAATGTGTAATGCATAAACATTATAAAATCCGATATCATTCAAATAAATTTCACTCTTGAAACATTGTTGTCACAAAACAGAGAAATATTTGAATAGTTCAAATATAAAAAAAGAATGTGTCGGTGAATCGAATTCATTTATATTTGTCGGAACACAGTTTTTGTCGTTCCACGAAAAAAGAAAAAACAGTCGAAACTGAAAGTGTTTCAAGATTCGTATGCAAAATGGCAACGCTACACTCGTGCACGGCAGAAGGAAAACGAACCATTAAAAATGCGTCGAATTTTTTGCGGTGCACCAAAAAGAATAACATCGGGAAGAATCGTCGCTTCTACAAAGTGTGCGATGATACTGTGACAATCAATCTTGAATACAGTCGACATTGCATTCTATTCTATGAACTTCCGTGAGCATTGTGGCTCTTTTTATGCCTGGAAATCTATGGGCTGTGTATTTTTTTACGAGCAATTACAATCGACAATTTTTATCTACTTTTCGATTGTTTTAATTTCTCAATCGCACATTTGTTCACTAAACTCACATTTTAATCATCATTAAGCTTACATTGAACATAAAACCGAAAAAAACTTTGATAATTAGACAAAAACTTACCACCAGTCCAAAATTAATAATTTTCTGGTTGACAACTTCGCCACTGATTATTTGCAAACAATTATTTCTGATTAATTCAAAAGAATGTACAAGTTTATTCTCGATTTGCTGATTGTTCGCTGAACTGACAACTTTCACATCCAAATGTCTCCGGCAGAATGTTCAAGAATCAAATGAAACCAATTTGTTTCGGCAAAGCCAAAAGAATATGCTCGGCTCTCACATCGTATACACAGTTGCCGCTATGCATACAATTGCGCAACAGGCCACAGCGTGTAGAAGATTCATAAATATGAATCGTTTGAACGAAGCAAAGGAAAGAGAGAGAAAAAGGACTGAGAACAGCGTCGAGAGTTCATGTTTGTATTCAAATGTTTGTGATTGAAATAAACACACCAATGCTGTAATGTGTTAGTTGTGGTGGGCGCGAAGCGACTTGACAAGTGTCAATTCAGTACAACGGACACGGTGATGCTGTTTTGGTTTTTTTCTTTAAAGGGTTTGGCATTCAAAGTGGCGTAACGAATGTCTTGTAACTAACTAACTGTATATGATGTATGTTGTGACTGATTTTTCGCACTCCTCAATGTAGGCACCTATCACATTGCATTTGTTAGGCTTTTGAATAAATCGCAAAACGTCAACACATTTTTACTGAAGTGAATAGTTTTTGTTTGCGGCAAATGAATGACTTTTGAGCATGGTTACACATCATAAAGAAATAATATGGTCAAGATATGCCTAAATGTTCCTAAAATCCATACCACCTTCGATAAATAAATCGCTAAATTTATTTGGAATGACAACTCTTATAAAAAAATAAAACCATCGGTTGTGTCTCAACTAAACTAGGTATAAAATCAGTATTTCATCTTTTGATTATAAATATTTCTCAGAAGGTCTTCAACTGGAGCCTGGAAGATCATGTAAAGTGTGAAACTGGCAAAAATGGTTAGTATGGTGATGCCCAGGAAGAAGGTAATCTGAAATAAAAGAGACATTTAGTGAGAAACGATCATGGAATCGGCCAAGTATGCAGCATGTTTGTGGGATGAAGTCAAATGTTTATGATGTATGTACTTACAATTAATCCAATCGATAGATGCATGCTGCTGTCTGAGCTCAAAATAATAATGCGAGTAATGATTGGATAAACCATTAGAAAACAGTTTGTCATTTTATCCAAAGGCATTAAATACTTTGATGTAAGTATGTGTCCGATCAAACCTGAAATTGGATTTTAGCATTTACTTTCCCTTTTCAAATTGACCTTTATCTACTTTTGCCAGTTCAGCTATTGCTGTGCAATTGTCTTATTTTCCTAATATCAATATTATGTAATGTGCTCTTAAGAGAGTGATTTGCCCTACCTCGGTGTTTTGATATCGATGCAACAATGATCCAGAGTATGATTACCGACCAGGTCATGTGAATTATTGTTGAAAACATGGCATTTGTAGTTATTGAAATGAGAGATTTACTAAAAATAAGAGCAACCACAAGCAATAAACAGGAAATCCAGCCTGAAAACAAAGCGTAATGCTTAGCCAAAACAAAATTGGGCGATTTATTTCACAATCTATGTACCACAAGACATCATTCCGATGCTAATCTCCAGCTTTGTATCGATCTTGTATATGATAAAGCCAATACAAATGCCAAAAATGTATGGAGAGAGTCGGGTCCATGGTTTGTCGTACAATCCATTGAAAAACGTAAGACTTTCTTCGGCAATCAAACTAAAAAAACAAAATAAAGAGTAAATTCTAAATTGAGAGAGAAAGAGAGTAAAAAATGTGTTTCATTCAAAATGGACTAATAATTGGAAATGTGCTATATTTCATAGCAAAGGATGGTTGAGTAATGGTTCACCTCGAGCTGATTTTGGTTTCCGGTCGATGGTCATAAAATCGAAGCGTTGTGTTTGCAATCAACGAACTAATCAAGAATGAGCTGAATATAATGATGCCAAAGCGTGGATGATTTTTTAATATCAACAAAATTATACAGGCCACTACGAAGCAGTGTACTTCTATGGACAATACCCATGACCACAGCATACACTTGAAATTGAAAGAGATAGATTTCGTTTAAATGGCTTCAATTAAAAAACATTCAGGGTAAACTCACTCGTTCGTCCAGCGGATAAAATTGATCGATGTAGAGGATGTTGCGCCACATGCTTCTTTCGCAAGTTCGATGATCCATCGACGGAATATCGATTATACTAAAATCGTAGAAATGTTTCATCAACATTTGCAACAGCAACAGTATTGCAATATATGGGAAAACACTTTGCAACACTTTGTAGGCAATCATCGACATGATGTGCAACAATGTATCGAAACAGGAACAAATCGCTTCAACATCGATATTTTTCATTCGATTGAAGAACATGTGCGCAACGCATACACCGCTGCAATGGAAACATTTATGTGGAATGTTTTTTTCATTAAAAATTCATTCAATTTTATGATGTTTTTGATATTATATTTTTGTTATTGCAAAAAAGTGTTGCAGAAATCGAAGTAGAGGAAGAGAGAAAGAGATAGGTGTAGTCGATTCATACTTACCATAAGAAAAAGTGTGTATCGATGGCAAGCGAACCGCTGCTTAAAATGCCTTGCACTAAATTGGAGCCGTCAGTGCGATATTTGTACATCTTATTGTCTGCGGTGAGAAAGTTATTCAATATTTCTGCGAAACATTTGCATCTTCATAAGAAATTGAGTGAATAACTTACCCGACACATAATACAAAACGGTGGTGACATGTACCAATAGTATCCATAGCAGACACAAAACACGTAGCCCGGCTATTTCGATCACATCACTGATGCAATATCTCTGTAGATCACTGAATAAAATCTCGAAATTTCGCCTCCATGAGAACGCTAACAATAGTGCTCGCAAACTATTTGGATTTGATGATGCAATGCTAACCGATCCCGCATCCGATGAAACTGAAATATGAAAAACCCATAATATTTTCAATTTCTTTCAAAAGACCCTTCCAAATAGAAGTGTCGAGGCTCTATAATCGAGCTTCACAATCAATATGACTTCAACAGTATTCACTTTTTTGGTTGATTTATATCAATGGCTGGTTATTGGTTTACCATATTTTAATTAGAGAAACTCACATTTAGTACACTTTGATGAAAGAAAATCCACGCTGAGCGACGACAAATCTTCCATTTTTAATTCCTTAATACGAATCAAATTTACACTTCCCAATGTATCTAGTTGTGCTGCGTTGAGATTAGTTTTTAGACTTTCACTATTTTTGTAGTTCCGTGTGCAATTAGTTAGTTGATTCAAGCGATTGGCCAATTGTGTTGCATTTGCACTAAAATGAGGCAGAATTTTTTCATTGAAACAAATTGATTGGATCATAATCAAATGGAAATTATACTTTAATGCTTCTTGCTGCTGAAGTTGCATTAGATTCATTTTCACATCGAAGTACATTAGATGCTCTAGGATCGTTCCGAAGAGGCCGAATATGAGAAAGACTGATGTCAAACCACTGTGAAAAGGTAAGGTCATTTGTTTGAATTCAATTGCAATTGAACAACAATTGTTAGTTGAAAAAAGGTAAACAAACAAAAATGGTGCATGATAAGATTGAAAAGATGAGCCAAATAGGGTAACATCATCAAGAAAACAATTACTTATTCCGAATGAAGTAGTAACCTCAAGAAGGTGATAAAAATTCAACTGAAAAATATCTTACATGAAAATATAAAATGCAGAATCGGTGTAATACGTGTACTTTTCGCTTAAAATTCGCACATCCAACAGTTCGGAATTTTTCATCACAAGATTGTTGCGCAAGTGTGATACGTTCGAATACGACATAACTTGCATTAAATCCAGGTGATTGCAAGACTTTGGCATGCATGCCGTCTGATGAATGACATATGTGTGCATTGGTGAACTTTCGATGACGCTTTTGTAGCGGGCGTTCACCAGTTGGACGCGAAATGGCAAATAAATTGGCGGTATCATGTAGCCCTGAACATCTTCGTAGACAGTTCGATTGTGGGTGCCAGCCAATGCTTGGTAATTATGAATGTTGATTTCTTCGTTCAATTCACGACATAATTGCGGATCGCCTCGTCGAACATTGTTTCCGGCGTACATACTTCCAGCATAATATCCCGATGCATCGTACACTGTTTGGGTGGAAAATGACACAAAAATGAAAAAGTGAATTGTGAACAAACAGCCGCCACCACAAATTAAATACTTTCATTGTTTCCATTTTGCGGATAGGCAATTTCCACAAACTGCGTTTGATTCCACCAACTATGATATAATTGGCAAGCGTTTTCTAAGCATGAAATAGCGTTCAACGCATTTTTTTCCATGTGTAAGCAACAAAACGCCATTAACGAAACCAATCAAATTGATCAGCCAAATGCAGTGAAGGCTGAAGGTGCAGCGAACATAACATGCGCGGCGCTTCTGCCGAACGAACAAACAAAAGAAGAAAACTAGCAGTAGCAGCAGCAGCATCGTGCAATCGCCTGGCATTCACCAAACATTCAGACGCGATTTTTTCGCATGAAAAATATGCGCTTTGTTTTCTTAACCATCTCAACCTAATTTGTTGTAGTTGAACACATCTTAACAACACCACTAGTGTTGGAGAGCCGAGCTTTTGGTTATTCGTGCTCTGAATTTTTTGATTATTTTTATGGATCACAATTACTTTGGCAATTTCACCGCATAAATTATATCGGAATCATTTCTCTCTGCCGCCATGCAGAGAGAAAGAAGCACGTGTAGACGAAGAAAAATGATTGCGGTCATTTGCTCATATATTCGCTTGAATGTTTTATAATAATCATTTTGGAATGAATCCAAGTGAGCGCGATATGGATTTTCAGTAAACGCTAGAAAGTTGAAATCCAATCGAAATGAAGGTGAAATTCGTTAATTGCTCGCACAAGAAGGTGTGGTGACTGGGTGACTGGGTAATGAAAGAGGTTTACTGCTTGTTTTTGATGATGATGTCTATTTTGTTTTTATGAACACAATTCAATTTGATGCTATTTTTGTGCTTCCAATCTCTTTCCTACGAAATTCTCGTTGATTGGCTGTAAAAAGATTTGTTATTAGAATGAAAAGAAAATACGCACATTTCACTGCCCACTTGATGTCCTTATGTAGACCGTCTGATGAAATGTGGTAAATAAAGAATAAATCGTTAGTCACTTGAATAATCCTAAGTAGGATTCAAAATGGTATTACCTAGAAACAAAAACATATCCTTGATGCACTTTTCAGTGATGTTCCAACCGATATCATTGAATTCAAAAAACCGCACCATGCTCAGCGGTCCGAATGTTTCGAATATCACATTTAAATTTGAGATTACTGTAGCAGACGCTGGCCGTGATATGGCCAAAGTCAAAATGATTGCCAAAATCCACTTCTTTTTGAATATCATCTCGTCGACTTTTCTTTTCTCTTTCTGCACTAGCACCCTGTTGCTGTATTCATTGAACAAATGTATTATTTATTTTCGAGAATAAAAGCCTTTTGTAAGGCCGAAATTAAAACTCTTTCTCAATCTTTTCTTGAGGAATTTGTCACAATACGCGATCGAACTGTTGTCTCATAAAACCAATACATTTTGACTATTGTTTCGTTATGTTTTTTTTCTTTCGCGCACGCTCCCAAACGCTTACACCAACGTCAAAAAGAAAACCAACCGATCACCTCAACGATCGTTGCAGATCTGATGGTTTGCACCAAAAAAACACAGTAGTTGAGGAAAAAAATAGCTGCAAAATTTGAAGAATATCGAAAGTAAACAGAATGAAAATTGAAATTGAATGTGTTGCATGCGCGTTGTTCGATGGAGTGACGCACCAACGAACAGCGTGTGTAAATATGGCGAGTTGGATAGAAAGAAATGTACCAAACAATGCGCGCGAGAAAAAAGTGATTGAAATGTGCTTTTATTTTGTCGGTATGGGCTAAATTGAGCGTGGCTAGTGTGCATGACAATGCAAGTGAAACAGAAAATAGCGCTCGTTCGCGCCCGTTGGCCGCTCCAAAGAAAAAAAACACAAATAAAAAGAAAAGAGACGAAGAAGAGAAAAAAAAATAAACACATAACGTAACATAACAACGTTACTTTTTTTACGTTTTCTCATTTACTGCTCATTTGCGATGCGTATCAAATCGTTTAGTGCGTATACTTGCTCGTTTGGCACCGAATTGAAGTAGCACCACGTGCTACTGAGCAATTTATGGCACTCTGTGGAGAAGAAAAAAACAGCAACAAATGAACATAGAAAGCAAATCGAAGGGAAATACCAACGAAACAGTGCGGTATGCATAAAAATGCACCATCTCGTGCTAATGAATTTTTCTCTACCATTTTTTTTCTTCGTGGAGGTTTTTTTTGTTTTCATAAATTTTGATGTCGTTTTATTGCACATTTTTTTGTGTATGTGCTTTGTTTCATTATTATTATTATAAATAATAAATGATCTGGTAAAGTTTTGCGAAAGGCTATTCGCATCCGCATTTCTCATTATCTCGCATATTGAATTTGATTGCCACGCAGAACCGTTTAATTGGATTTCTCTTTCAATTCGAATCTTTTATTGCATAAGATTAGTTTTTTTTTCGTGGAATAATGTGCCAATTCAATCGAAAAGTAAAATTGACCATAGTTCATTTATTGTTCCACATCAATGCGCAATAGCGAAATGAATACACCAAATTTTGTACCCGGCACTGAAAGAAATATGCAGATTTTCATTTCAGAATCAATCGTATGGTAAGTGTCACGTAGATAGTCCGGCTATCTTAAGTGGCCTTGTGTTTGCTTGTTTGACCCTTTGACTGTCCTTTCGATATTGTAACGTAGGCTGTCTTTCTGCGATTTTTCGTCCAGGCCAAAAATCAGAAGAAAAACATATATGTGAAGAATGCAATGCCTATTAGGCATTGCCTAATTTAACAAAAAATCATAACTGCATTCCAACCCAAAATCAAAAGTTGTCTCGATCATAGATGTTTTTCATCTTCAGGTTGCTTTTTTCACGAAATAACATCATTCCGCTGTAATTTTTATAATATAATTATTTTGCAACGCAAGCGGCCTTTTATAATTTGTTTGTTCGATTTTTTGTTTCTGATTTTTTTTTCTTGATTGAAATAGTTTTCGCAAGTATCCGGACGTAGTGTTCACGGTGCCCGCATCTATTTTACACTATGTATGTAATGATAACGACAGTCAAATGGGAGTCATTTTTTTCATGAAAACAACATACAACAAGTCACTTTATTGGATGAAAAGAATTAACTGTAACTTTATTTTCGAGCGATTGTGAATTGATTTCGTTGATGAACTGCGATAAGAATTCACATGTACCCAAAATCTCACCATTTTGAATGCACACTTTTTGTAATTATAAAACTAATATAACTTAAGACTTATTCAAAATTTTGAACTATTCAGATACACGATAAGTGTGTGGAAGTCAAAGTTTGAGTTACTTCGGTTCAATTTCCCATTTTTTCTTGGATTTTAATGGAATTTTACATTTGTTTGTTCAAACTAAACCAACACTACCAACTACTACGGAGCATATAAATAGCAAAACAGAAATGGAAAGAGCACAGGAAATCCTCGATGAATACATACGTGAACATCGAACAGCATGGGAACGGATTGAAGATGGCTATGAAGTCTTTGCTGACTGTCTATCACGCAATTATTACGTAAGATTTATGGTTATTTTACATTCTGGGCTGAATGTCGACTTTATTTGTTATTTTTAATGTGTTTTTTTTTCACATCAAGGGCTTAATGGAATTTATGGGTGTTACGTATCCCTCAACAACTACACTAAACTTGGTATAATGTGCCCTAGATGAAAATGTTCTTTCTTCAAAATATTGCCACGGGCATTAAGCCATCTGTAGGTGTCATACTTTATATGCAATCAAAAATGCAAGAAACGTTCATTACCAAATGTTATGACAAAAGAAAACTGGATAATTAGTCTATAATTTGCGACAAGTACCTAATTTATTTTTGTTCGAAGAAAATTATTTCAATCATTTTGTTTACGTTTATCTGATAGATTTCACATGTATTCAAAGAACGAAGTCTTGATTTATATCAAACAACAATTGTGATTTTATTTCGATTGTATTGAAAAAGAGAATAAACAAGAACTTCTTCTTATTTTTTCACAGCCATGTTTGCAAACATTCGAAAATTGTCGAATTCTAATTTTTTTTTTAAATTATTAAATTCTATTCTCTTATCTATTTTTTTGAATGGTCAATAACGTATTTCTTGAATCCTTTTCCCTCTGGCACAGCAAATGCAACTTCATCATCGGAATCCACATTGGCTGCTTTCAGTATGAATAAAGCGGGATCGATTGTTTGTTTGGACTGTTGCAGTATTCCGATTAAATCATCAACTAAGTCTCCGTCTTCCTCCGAAACAATAGAATACGAGGTGCCTGTTCCATGGTCTGATCGGCCCGTTCTGCTAACGCGATGCACATAATCCGATATACAGAGTGGCATATCAAAATTAACAACATCTGTTATTTCGCTAAAATTTACATTTTTCGCTGCTACATCAGTCAGCACTAAAAATGGAAACTTCCCATATTGGAAATCTGACAGAATTTCATGTCGTTGCGATGTTGACTTCTGATTATGCAACGATTTGCATTGGTAATCTTTCCTTCGTAAAATATTGGCAATTTGATCTGCTTTTTCGGGTGTTTCAGTGAAGATAAGTGTCATTTGTTTGCCCTTTTGTGATGCAATCAAATTGATAATCTCATACAACTCGTCTTTCTTCTTCTTTTCCTCAGATACTTTGACAATTTGTTTGATTTTTTCCGATAACTCCTCTTTGACTTTAGCAGAGCCAACATCTAATCGAATATAATCATTGACAGTGAGTTTTCTTAATTCGCTCGTCCACGAAGAGCTCCAGATTAATCGTTGACATTGATGTCTGATTTGAGACTCAATTTGTAAAATTTCCTCTTCCAAACACATTTCAATCATTTTGTCGGCTTCGTACAGCGACAATTGTGAACATCTCTCCAAGCTGAGCGATTTTGTACGGAGAAGTTCATATAAATGACATGGTGTTGCTATTAGAAGTTCACCAACATCATTTGGTTTGGTGTTATTCCTCGCTTTGTGAGGACCATTACTCTTGAAAACTGTGCATTTGATTTTTGCTTCATGACAAAAGGTATCAGCTAATTGTCGAATTTCCTCTGCTATTTCCTGAGTCAATGCCAAAATAACTGCAATGGGACCTTTTTCCAAATTTAAGGGTGTTTGATGTGATATGTGAATTACCGCGGATAAAACCATCGCCAAAGTTTTTCCGGTGCTAAAATTGGAAAATTGATTGAAAAGGTTAAAAAGACATTTTCTCAGTCGGAATTCACCGGTGAATTTACCTCGATGGAGAGATGGCTATCATATTTCCCCCAGAGAGCGCAATCGGTATCCCTTCAGATTGAATTGGAGTGCACTCGAGTAAATATCTCCTTTCAATTTCACCTATCATAGATTGGGGCAGGTCGTTGAGTTCATTGAACCTAAAGATTGGCTTTAGACTAGTAGAACTAAGTGTGACATGGTTGTTGGTACGGAATTCTCGAACTTCATCAGTGGAGCGGTTTTCTGTTGTTGTACTGGGTTTGTAAAAATGCTTTTTTATCGTAGCCAAGTTCATAGCTTCCCAGTTGGGTATTTCTAATTCATCTAAATTGAAGTCATCTGAATCATTTTCACTAAGATCATCCTCATCACTATCAAATTTCTGAGCATTGTAGGCTTTCTGATTTACTCTAGTGTCGCCTCCATCATTTGGATATTTCTTACTATAGCCCTGTGACTGATTCTTCCCCATTTTACTCCTGCCATCATATCCCGTTTGTTCAATTTTGCCCGTTTTTTCGTCGAAATAATATTCGATTCTTCTACTTTCACGCAACTGTCCTTCCTCTTCAACGGCATGATTCCACAGTTTTTGTTGTCGTTTCAAATGTGCAGCAATGGATGAATTTAACTGATGAGTAACAAAGTCATTTTTCGCAGTAACTTCAATTTTTGGGTGGTTTTTGTTGTGATTATTTTTATTTTTCGAAGAAAATTCACGTATGATTCTACTTGATAAACTCGAATACTTTCCTCTGAACGCTGTTCTAGAACAAAACAAACCGAGTCGCTTTGTTGACAACATTATTTTTATTGTTTATCTCTTTCACATTCACTCAGAAATTGGCATTCCGCGGGCGAAAAAAATGCATTTCACAATTTTTGTTTTCGGTGTCATTTCAATATCATATGTTTTGCGGCGCGTGTGATTTGACGTGAGATGTCAAAAAGCGAAAAAATAATGTTCGGACTTTGTAGGGTTTTCAATGATTTTATCAGTGTAAATTTCCATTGATGCATGAAGAACGAGAACAAAAAACCTAGGGGCTTTTTACTCTTTTTCATATATGTGATTTGTACGGATAAATGCGCATAGATTGTGTGCCACAGTGAAGTGTGTCGAATTTTGCACATAGTCACGAATATTACGCATAGAAGCGAATACGCGTGCACATAATGATGCCACGATGCGATTTAAGACGCATCAACACAATGTCAACATTCTGTTGTATCGTTAAGTTTCGTTCAAACAATATTTGACATCAACAATTTCTGTCTTTAATATTTATCAAATCTCTTGCTAATGAGATTGTTCTTAATTGATGAAAATTGAATTTAAATATAACACAAAATTAAAATATAATAGCAAAGAATAAGAATGAAAACGAAAATCAAAATGTTATATTATACAAATATTGAAGTAAAATCGCCGATAGTTTTGGTAGATATAAAAATCGTTGAAAAAAAAGTGCGACGATTCATTATACTTGGAAATAGCATCTGGATTATAAATAATAAAAAATCCATATGTACAAATGATTGAAGTTCACAAAAATGATCAGCAAAAAATGTGAGCCGAAATAAGTACAAATCAAACACTTGCAGTCAAGTATTTCTTGAAATTTTACATGAAAAAAGCCGTTGCACTTTGAATTCAAAATAGTCGATATTGTGGCGTGTGACCAATCAGAGAAGGAAACATTTTAGTAGGATTTATGCGAAATTATTCGCAGTATGAATGGTCTATGTGCAGTATTCGGACATCGAATGTGTGCACTTCTAACGAATAGGCACCGCATAATACGCATAGTACGAAGAAATCGCCACATACTATGAGTTGAAGCGCATATTCTTCGCATAAAACGAATTTTTTTCGAGTTAAATGCCCCTAGAAAAACAACACAGTAAATCTTCACATATGAAAAAAAAATTACAAAATGACACCGAATTTTACTGTTGAAGAAGCATTTCAATTCCTTCGATATTTATAAATGTATCTAGCATCCATAGGAATAATACAATGGCATCCAATGGTAGCATCATATTGTTTAATTTTGATAGTCTATTATCTAATGTTATTGATCTTAAAAGTCGCGATAAGTGTTGAACTTTTGTTTTTTGCCGAATCGAATTTTCGACAGTTGAATAAGAGCTGGGTCAATTTCTTGTTTGGCTTCTTCAAGAACGCCTATCAGGTCGCTGGCGTGAGCAGCATTTTCTTCAGTGAACAATGTGTAGGCTGTGCCATTTGATTTGGAGCGACCCGTTCGGCCGATACGATGAACGTAGTCTTCTGTGGTGTTTGGATAGTCAAAGTTAATAACATGTTTAATGTCGCTCACATCAAGACCTCGACTGGCCACATCGGTGGCCACAAGCACATTAATTCTGTTCCTTCGGTATGCATCCAAAATGTTCTCACGTTGCGATTGTGATCGGCCACCGTGAATGGGTTCTGCATTGAATCCCCGGCGATTCAGCTGGTTTGAAAGCTCATCGGCCAATCTTTTGGTTTGTGCAAAGATTAAGGTTTTTTGTTCGTTCGCACCGAGCTTTTGGATATCTGTAATAATGTCGAGCAAAACGTCGTATTTTTCATTCTCTTCGCAAACTTTGATGATTTGCTTGATATTGTGATTGGCACACAGTTCGGTTGATCCAACGGTCAATTGGGTATAGTTGTCTCCCAAGAAATCTCGAGCAAGATTTCGTACTTCACGCGGCCAAGTGGCGCTCCACATCAGCGTTTGGCGATCAGGTCGGATTTGCGATACGATTTGTCGCATTTGGGGCTCAAATCCCATGTCTAACATACGATCGGCTGTGGAAATAGAACAAGAACATTGTTAGAAAATGTATAACGTTGTTATAAGAGGTGAAAACATTCTGGAAATATTCAATGTCATTGGCAGTCACTTGGAATGATGAAAAAACGCCTTCCAAAACTATTTTCTTCGGAAAAATCGAATAAAAATTACCTTCATCAAGAACAAGATAAGAGCATCGACGCAAGTTAAGACTTGTTGTGCAAAGCAAATCGATCAATCTGCCCGGAGTGGCAACGACCAGCTCAACACCTCGTCGAATGTCTGAAAGTTGGAAGGCTTTGGCTGTGCCACCATACAAGACTGTGTTCCGGATATTCGATGATTCACCATATTCATTGGCCACCTTTTGGATTTGTTGGGCCAATTCACGAGTTGGTGCAAGCACCAAGGCTATTGGTCCATCTCCTGGCTGCAATTTCGGTTGATTCAGAATATGAATAATGGCGGGCACGGTGTACGCTAGTGTTTTTCCAGATCTGTTCAATAGAAACATGATAAAATGTATGAAGAAAAAAATGATGCAAATTCGATATTTTGACCAATTTTCGGCTTACCCAGTTTGAGCGATTCCAACCATATTATTTCCGGACAAAGCGATTGGCATGCCCTGTGCTTGAATTGCAGTACATTCATCGAAGTTTTGTTTTTGAATTTCCTTGGCCACATTTGGTGGCAAATTTTGCAGCTCATTAAAAGTGAAAATCGGTTTTGGTGCATCGCGTGGAATGAAAATGTCATGTTTCGCACGGAACTCCTCAATTTCTGCGTCGGTTCGATTTTTGGTAGCTTCACTTGGCTGATAGAAATCTTTTTTCAGCTCGCCCAATTCAGCCGCATCAAAATGAAGCGGTCTCAACTTTTGAATTCCATCGTTGAACGATTGCGTTCTTTGCGATTGGAATCGTGGTCGATTGTTGTTAAATGAATTGTTACCAAATGAATTGCGTTGCGCAAATGACTCACGTTGTGGTTTTCGTTCTCCAAATGATGATGATCTTGGTTCTCTGCGTTCAACTCTGGTTTGTCGTATCGGCATATCATCATCATCGTCATCGATGAAACGTGCGTATGTTCTTACCGAAATTGCCGGAAAGTTGATTTTACTTTTGCGTATTGTCTCTTGCACCACATTGCTTCTGTGGTAGACTGCGCTCAACAGTCGTAATTTACTGAGAAACATGTTGGATTTCACTCAAAATACACAACGAGCCGTCAAACTGTAAGTATAAGCAAGATGCACAATTTTTTTTTATGTAATAAGAACTTCCCCAACACCAAAGTATATGAAAAATGATTTTTTTTCTCGTTGATATTCAATGAAATCAAATCAATATCAAAAATGATGTTGAAACACAAAACTTACCTTTTGATCAACAAAGCAAATTTTATTTGGGAAAAATTTCAGTAAAAGACTTGAAAACCGACCGCAATAAATGTTAAATGCGTCTCAGTTGTGAAATTCGTGCCTCGTTTCTGTCGCTAAAACAAATCACAAAGCACATGCTTTATTCGATCACATTCACATTTGACGTCTTGCATGGCTGTTGCAAGGTTTTTCCACTTTGATTTGCGGCCAACTTCACTTCGACATCACCCTCGATTCACTTTTGAAAGCAATCAAGTGTTCAACATAAACAGAGAAGAGGTTTTACGCTTCGTTTCGCTTTTTACTTTATTCGATTCGTGTCAATTGGTTTTTTTATTTGTATAAATCTATGAAAAATAATAACAAAATAATTCAATCGGTTGTTATCAAAATTATTTGGTTCGATCCAACTGATATTGGTAAGATAAAGTGGGGGCAATTCACAAGCGTGCATGGTTTTGTTTCTGTTTTCAGTGTATCAGTTGCGACGAAGAGGTGCTGTTTGGATTTTCCAATTCTTCGAAATATTTGCGCGCATTGCGAATGTTGATCAGGGCGGCTTCCGATGGCATCGCTGGATCTGACATTATGACCATGATATATGTGTTGCTTGTGAATGTATTGATGAATGCAGCAAATTGACTGTTTCGCACCTCCATCGATTGGAATTTTGCACCCAGTTTCGAGCACGACAATTTAAATTGCTTGATTATGTTGGAAACCTTTTCAAAGCGATGCAAATCACGGTGCTGTTTTCGCTGCGAATGTGATATGACCAAAAATGTGGCACGTTCGAAGAGCAACACTTCATCAGCGTCGATTATGTTGGCAAAATAGGCCAGTGAATGCTCCAATGCCTCCACATTTGGAATCAACATGTAAACCTTGAAGAGAAATGACGAAACATTTTTAGCAAAGTAAAACATTTTTTTGGGTTTTAGGCGATGAATTGTGATTTCTTTAGGCATGATTTTCTCTTTGGGTACTTTTCTTCCGTAATATCGCATTATCAAGAGATGATCAACATCAATGCATCGGATAATCACTGATTACACGACGATAACTTACAATTTGACTCCATGCTTTGTACAATGTCTCATCCCAGATGCTTGTTTTGAAGGCGGTACAGTTCAAAGGCAATGATAAGCGCTTCAAATCTTCTTCACGTTCCTTAAAAATGATATCTCGTTGTTCTTCGGCCACCAAGTCCATCTTGTGAACCAAGCAGAAAATTTTCGCATCCGGAGAATTCTGAAAAAAAAACGGCAAATTTTGAGTGAGAAATAGCCAATTATTCTAATTTCTATTTATAAAACGACCAATTTTCTCATAAATAAATAAAAAAAACCAATGGGTTACCTTATAGATGGCCTCGAGGCACGATTGATAGTAATGCATGTCATTGTCCAGTTCTCGGCTCTCCACATCGAACACATAGATTAACACCTCAACGTTACGAAATATATTGTCCTTTTGTGACGCAAAATATTGTTCCATAAAACTCTCTTGACCACCACAGTCCCATAGATTCAGCACTGTAAACACCCAAAATGATGAAAATCAAGTCAATCCAAATCAATTGTTGAATGATTCCATTTCAAAGTAATTTTTATCTGTTCAATGCTCAAACTTACCTAAATTGCCCAAGAATCTCACATGTGAATGTTCGACGTCGACTGAAAAACAGAAAAAGTAGATTCAGCGTAAATTCAAATGCGATTAGTTCGCCATTGTTTGCAATGAAATTGGATACCCACTTGTCGCTCCCAGTCGTCGAGTGTCTCGTGCAATGTAGTTGGCAAAGATGATGGAACGCATCGAGGTTTTGCCAGAACCGCTTTTACCCATAAGTAACACCTAATTCCACCAAAAAAAAAATCATGTATACATAAACATTCGTTTGAACTCTGGATCCAAAGCGTGATAAGGAACTGTAATGATTTTACCTTTTTCTTCATGTTCATAACTTGTTGAAGCCCACTGATTTATAGAAAAAAACACAACTTATTCACTGTGTATTATTTCACTTGATTTATGCTCTGATTTATGCAGCTATTGGGCTCCCGTTCTAATGGTTTGCCACAAAATTCGTCATAATACACGTAAATGCCTTATCGCGTCGTAAATATTCGAAAAAAGTGATTCTTTTTTCCCAGTGTAATGTAAAAACACTCAGATGTTTGACAGATGATTTAGCTATGGGTCTTTATTATTGTTGTCATTCTATGCCATTCACTTGAGATGTGAAACTACAAATTCAGATGGCGCTACTAAACGATTTCAGTCCTTTTCGAAAGCGCAAATTTCCATATTATGTGTTGTTATATTTTGAATGAAATTCTTTAGACACGCGTGTGTTATTGATTTAATTTCCAATGAAATTTATGTGCGATTGAAGAATGAAAAAAATGCAGCATAAATAAATTTGAGAATCATTCATGTGAATAATTTGCAGTCATGATCATTACAATATAAAAAAATGTATAACTGCTCATTTATGCTCATCCCATAATAAGTATGTTTGAATAAACTCGTTACTTTCTATTTTTTTTTTCTCTCATATATGAAATGAAAACAGCAGAAAAATAAGTGTGCGTCTTCCATTCGCAGCGGGAAAAATTTTCATGGAAAACTATTTAATCTAAACAATTTTAAATGTCAGAGTTTAGATCGTAATTAATGTTTCAGCTATGCATACTTGCAATTCCATTCGCTTGCGACAGCATTTTTGAGTCTTTATCATAAATTTTTTTTCGTGCGCGCACATCCATTGTTAAGGTTTTTGATTAGTCATGCCATTTCTTGGCATGTGGCTCCAATAATACTGAGTATCAAGTAAATACGCTGGGTGTTTGCAGCAAAAGTGCAAGCATAGAAAAATACAAATGTAAATCTAAAAACAAAACGAAGCAAATATGCGGGAGACTTTCACACAAACTATGATGCACTTGATTACATAGGGCACAATGGCGTTTTTGTGTGTGTTAGCTTGTGTAGTTACGAAAATGCGGCGAGCAAAAAAATGAGATCATGCTAAAAAGCGCTGATGGTTTAATCGAATTAGTGCATTAGGCGGCTATGTTTTGTCTCGCTGCTGTCGGTCATATTTTTCAAACGACATGTCTAATAAATGCATTTCAAACTTTAGATACCTTGTAAGCTCATTGCTGCTGCTACGTCTACTGACACGCCGTACACGCATAATAATTGCAACTGTTTCGAAAAAAAAACCAATCGTACAAAAAGCGTACAAAATGAAAACTAGTCGCAAAGTGCATTAAGCACACAACAAAAATGAGGTTTGACGAAATGTTCCATGCACCTTTTTTTCTGCCATTTTAGTTTCTCTTTCTCGCTAAAACCATTTAAATTCGTGCTCGTATGTCGTTTTTTTTCTCATTCTAGCTACTCTGCAAATGCTCCGGTTTAAATTGTTTTCTATTTGTTGTATTAATGTAAAAAATCAATGTTTATTCATTCACATGCCGCTGCTCCGTCCAATTATATCTGTGCTTATCTAAAGCGTGCGCGCACGCGGGCTCTGGTAGTGCGCGATGTTGGTACACGGTTTCCATCAGTTGTAATGACGCAAAAATGAAACAACAAGGTAACAAGCCGCTAATATCCAATTCACTTTATCAATTGGCTTACATTCGATCGAAGGTTGGCTGGTCGGTCGCTGCGCGTTGTGTACAGCAAGTTTCCGATTGGAAATGTTTACAGGTGTGAAAATTTAATTAGAAACGTTTTGAAAATTAAAGAAAAACGATGTACACTTTGCAATGATAATGGCTTGATAAGAAGCCGACAGAATGAAGAGCATTTATTCAACGACCATGTTCGCATTTGCGTTCGAGCCGATTTTTTTTTCTCTTGCATTCAAACTCATTCACGTTCCATGATTAATACTAATGAAACGAAGAAAAATAATGTCACACAATCATGTGCTCTTTTTCTTTCGAATTAGTTGAGCATTTTTTTCGCCGTTAATTTGAATATTGACTTCGTCGACTGTCAAACACCGAATTTATGTACTTGAAGCAGTTTTGCAATGAATTTTCATAGAAAACCGACAAAAAACCAAGCACCACCAAGAACAACAACGGAAAAAAAGCCACAATAACAAACAAACGGTCATGCAGAAAACGGGCCACTGGTATTTCTTGTCTGAAGCCAACCTGAGACGTAAATTGGCAGGGCGTGTGAGCAAGTTGTTGTTGGTTATTCTGTCGTGTTGTTGGTGCTGTTTTTTTCTTCTTCTTCGTCTTGACTCTTGAAGTGGCATTGCTTTGTGTAATACTCGCGCGCATATAATGTGAAAGGAGAACATCGACATCATAAAAGTTATTATGCATAAGCCAAACAAATAACACGTACTCTGAACGCCCGATTTTCAAATCAGTCTTTAATATACACATACGGTCCGGTCCGGTCCGTCCATACGTTCAATGATATGGTGAGTTGTGAACGGGTCAGTCAGCCGTATCGTGAGCACACAAGCGCATATCTCTGACATCGTGCGGTGTAATTAGAAGCCGAATGTGATGCAATAGGTTATTAAAGCGATTGACCCAATGAAAGCTCATATAAGCTGTGCCAGCAGCAGTACTCGTGAATAAGAAACATAGCGGCAAAATAAACCGTAAGGACATCTCAATGTGACAAATGAAGAGGACAGAAAAATTGAACACTTAGCGATGCGATAAACACATTTACTGATCGTTTCCATGAACCGTACTTATGTATATCGGTAATTTGCATAAGGTAAACTGATATTGAAATGATACACACCAAGTTGCCACCCGTACTTGGCAGATCTTGAAAGTCTGATTATTATGTTCAAAGTCAATTTTGATGATATGTTTTCTTTTTTTTTCTCTCTCGTCTCTCGCTCACTTTGTATATGAATGAAAAAATTAAGACAAACGAAGAATCGTTGTGACTGGCTTATCATTCATTTAAATTCAAATTGCGGAACAATAGTGAGAAATAATCATTGGAATCTTGATTGTTACTCATTTGAAAGTTCAAAATTGTTCAGTATCTCAATTAGTTTTGTATGATATCAGAGACAAGCGATGCTCTCTCTCTCTCTCTCTCGCGCTATATGTGTGTGATTCAGTTTGTCCAGAATAACGGTAGATGCAGCCATTCACTTGAAATAAAATAAAAATAAACAATAATAAAAAAGCACACACACGACAAGCGTATGCTCATGGAAAAATTTCTCTAAATTTCATTTAAGTCATTGTAGAAACTGGCCGCTGCTTCTTCGGCTGCTGCTGCTGTTGCTGCACTCGAACATCCGCGTTGTGCCGTAGAAGAAGATCTTGCGCGCGCGCGGTCGAACGAAATGGGTTTTGATAAAGAGAAATATGAATGAAATGTCTCTGATGTGTGTTGCTATTTGTTTTTTTCCATCGTTTCGTATCGAGTTGGTTGTCAGCGTGTGCGTGCACGTCTAGCGTTGGGTCAAGTGGATTACCATGGTAAAATGATTTAAAATTCATGTTCCATTTTATATCTCTCATTCGTCGAATCGATTCTCTTGCCATTGACCAAAAAAAACTGCCCATGCTATCTTTGCCACTTTCGGCACACACTTTATTTTCAGTTAGCATATCTAAAAATATTCATTCTCATCAAAGAGAAGAAGGAAAGAAACAGACGAAAACCGGCTTTTTTCGGGAAATATTTCTCGATTGCATGTTTCCACCTTACTCATTCGGTCCACACACACACACATAACCGTCACGGGCAGAAAAGAAAATGATTACAACGTTGCAGCGCAATCATTTTCATTCGCCGATACAGATATGTTGCAATTCGGTTTCGGTCGCTCGGTACAGAAATCAAATCGAAGTGAAAATTGTGCGAAGAACTTCTGTGTGTGGCTGGCTAAGCTTGAAAATTCGTGGAATTTTTTTCGCGCTGCATCGTAACTGAATGCACAAGCGCACACAGGTGTAATTTAGGACACATAAGACAAATATGCCGACGCCGTCGTTGCCGTCGCCGCCGTCGCCGCCACCGCTGTGAAGTTCTTTTGGTGCATCCAATCGAGTTTCTTGAAATGAAATCACAAATACCAGTGCAGAAATTGAAATTAGAAGTGGGCCTATTGTGTTCCGCTAGTGCGTATGCATGTTATTTGATCACCTTTCTGTTTTGTTGCTTCTTTGCGTAAGCCTCTCTGCCTCACCATCTCGGCATCTCGGGCAAATGCGTTAAAGATAACAAACACTCCTCTGTTGTATTATTATTACCATCACCCGGTGGATGCAACAGCGCACACACACTGAGTGTGTTTGCTGTGTGCTCACTCATTTGATCGATGTTGCAATGCAAGTGTTTGTGTTCACATCTATTGAGTCTGCAGCAAGCAGCAGCAGCAACCGCACTAACAAAGTTTTTTGAACTGATCTTTGAGAAGTATTTGAAGAGTCTTTCTCGCTTTCTCTTGCATATTCGTGTACCATTTACTTGCCTCTGGCTCGGTTGGGTTCTATTTCTACGAAATCCCGGCTAGCCTCTCGACCGTACATGCTTGATACACGTTTACGGCATTGCGTTCCAAGCGCAGTTCGTACCTGTCGATGACTATTTACCATTTTCTGCTTCTCTTCACTCGAGGCTCCGTTTTACAAGATTTCTACCAGTCTGATTTTCTACTTCAATTTTTTCTTCACTTCGTCTTCTTTACCTCTTCTACTTCTCACTCGTTTGTATCGGTTGCGTTCGTGTATGTGTGTGGCTTTAACACACACTCACCGCAATGTTTGTGTTGCTGCTTTTTCCTCATTGCACGGCAAGTGTATTTGTGTTAAGAGCTCTGTTGCTCATAGATCTTTTTCTTTCATTTGACGTGGTCTTTTTCCTTACTCTCCGGCATTTTTCTTTCACATCACAGCGAGCGCAACGCAACACTCAACGACGACGACGACGACGACGACGACGATGACTACGACTACGGTGTGTGTTCACCGTTTACATTTTCAGATTCGTTGGTATGTAACATTCTTGAGTTGGCTTGCGACCGATTCGGTTCGTGTAGAGAATATGTGACGAAAGTTTTATTTGCGTGTTTTTTCTTCTTCTTTTTTCTTTCTCTCTCTTCAGAGTGATTATATTCATCGAGCAAAAAGAGTAACAAGAAAGAAAAAAAGCGAGTCAGAATTATTTGGCACAAGCACATTTCAGTGAGAAACTATTTTTTTTTTGCATCATTTCCCGTGGTAATGAAGTGAAAATAAAGTAGAAAAATACTCAACGAAAAGTTTAAAGTGCTACAAACGATAGACAAAAATCGATTTTTATTACGATTCTTGATCGAATCGCCGAATAAAAGTTATTGAAAAGAGTCTGAACAAAAAGAAAACGAAGTGGCTCTTGGAAAAAGTAGCATTGAATTGGATGTGATTTGTGTCGAAGCTGAGCTTTAAAGCCGAAAATCTTACGAGTGATTAATGCTAATTTATGCATTGTGAACCGATCGACAAGCAACAACAACGACGACGACGACGAACACAACAAGTGATGTCCGGAACAGAGTGAATTTCATATCGAAAAACACATCGATTTAACATTGAATTTGAAAAAATAGCCATAAAATACCAGTTTCAGTGCTTGGAATGTTGTCACAATTTCGTCTGGTTGGCCATCATCATAACCAAAAACTGAGTGATTATTAATACAACGCATTAAGTCTCTCGGCCGTTTTGCCATTTGGAAGAACAGAAAGTGTGATGATAAAAGTCATGTGAATGATACACTGCGACGCAAAAAGACACCGAACAACAACAACAGCGAAACAAGATCTGTCGAATTTTATTTAGCACATTTGGAATGTTCATTGTCATTGTATGCAAAATTGGTGCCGAAACGATCGTTGAATCGATTGCAAATAAAAAAAACACAGCAACAACAACAACAGCAAATCTTTCATCGGGAGAGAATGTCTTGTGCCTGTCGCCATATTGATCAATTGCACACCTAAATACAACAATCGTACAATCGTTTGGTTGTGGAAACGAAACAGAGAGAGGCCAAGAGGAAGGCTAAGAAAAAGGCAATACACAGCACACACGCTTCGGGATCAGGGTGTGTTTGACTTTTAAATGTGTGTCTTATTCACTTTTGATACTTTGAATACGTTCGTTCTTCTTCTTCTTTTTTCGGCTGCTCTTTCATCGAAGTGATCGCTCTTTTTGTTTGGTTCATCATCATCGGGAGTAAAAGACCAAAGTGAACGAACCAACCGACGACAAGTGTGTTTGTGTGCTTCTTTGATATACACATATAGTCGGTGTGACGACGACGACAACGTCGGTGTGTGCGTGTGCATGATTACCAGCAGCAAGAAAATAAAAAAAAAAGTATTTACCTTCAGCACTGATCTACATCGCATCAGACAACCGACAAGAGAACATTTTTAACCATTTGTACCATCGTTTCGTTACATACAATCATCAAATGTGCTAATAATAATAACGAGCAGCAGAGAAAATAAAAACAAACACTGAGCGGAAAACTATTGTCTGTTTGTTGGTGTAATCGAATTCGGTTGTGTTTTTACATTTTTGATTGGTTTGGTGCGTCTGTGTTGACTCACACGATAGACAAGCCGCAAGAAACGAAAGAAGCACGAAGAACGAACCATCCATACTCCAAGACAATAATAAGTAAGCAGTTAGCAAATACACGGGTTCTTGTTACAGATCGTATTGAAGCCCGTCGTTGCGGTTGCCGCTGTGCCTTTGCTGTTACTGCTGCTGCTGCTGCCTACACGTAAGCTGTCAGGCGGTTAAAACTTGATTCGAAAAGCCGAGAGTTTTCGCTTTAGCATTTCATTTGCGTTTTTTTCTCTTCAATTCCTTCGTTACGGGCCTCAACTGTGTCAATGTGTTCGTGTATGAATTCTGTGTATGCCATGTAGATCGCTGTTTTGGAATCTCTTTCTCTGCAGTCATATTTATATATCATACATACCCGACGCGCGCGCGAAGCAAACAAACTCAAAGCATATCGTCGTTGCTGCTGCTGCTTTTTTCCCCTTATTCGTATCGTGCAAGCAGCACAAGACTACCAGCACACACTGAGCCACAGAGTTGAAGACAACTCTTTCACGTAATTGTTAGAATGAACAACAACGTATCAAAGCCCGAAGAAATAAAATAATCAAAAGAGAACCAGCGAGCGCAAGCAAGTAAGAGATCTCTCGAGTGTGTGTAGAACGAGCGAGTGGAACCATTGAAATAAACGAGATAGAAGACGGAATTTTTCTCTCATATATTATACATATATGCTGGGCTGTTGCTGCTGTTGTTGTTATTTTTTTTCTCTTCTCAACTTCGTTGTGCTTGAGAACGTGATCGGAATGCAGTGTTTCGTGTTATATTAATGACTACGACGACGACAACGACAACAACATTGATACAACGACGACGACAAAAAATAAAAGAAGAGAAGAAAAGATAAAAAAAAAGATCCAGAAATACAGAAATTATTTTATAAAATATTTATATAAAAAAGAGTTGACGTTGCCAGTGCACGTATGCTGCTTTGAAAAGTGTGTCTCTGTGCGCCCAAATCAAGGAGTTAATACCATATAATAGATTTGTTAATAAATCGTAACGGCTAACTGTTTTGAACTTATTTCCGAATGTGTCTCTGTGTGTATGTATCTGTGCGCGTACGATCCGCATTGATTACTCAACAATTTACTTGTAATAATAAAAACGTTGAATGAACCATAAAAATCAACTCAATTTAGTGGCAAAATCAATTAAGTTATTTTATGTGACCGCCCCAAACGAATTTTACGGAACGGAATACGTTTTCTACGAAACGAACATCGGCCAGGCATACAGACATAAAAAATCGTCGGAGTGATAATTTAGCACACATGTAAATTGAACCGCATGAAAAAAAGGTCATCAAGTATCACAACGAAAGTATCATTTATCTGAGCATTCCACAGCGGATTATTGTGTTATTTATTCGGATTGTGAACTGTATGTGATTCGTATACTTTGTGAATGTGCAAAAAAGATAAAAGAAGAACGCAATTGAAAAAGTATTTTAAAAAAATTACAGTAAAAAAATTGAAAACATTTCAATTTTCTTGAGTGAAACCAACGGGAGCAATCCTAAACAGATATTATCAATGAAAATGGGTGAATCAACACCGATTTGCCGTTGCCGAGTCTTGTACTTGGGAAGCGCTGTACCACGTCAAAGCAAAGATGGACTACAGGGCATTCAAGAGCCGCTTCGTAGTTTATATCCATCGGAAGGAGCGGTTGGTGCACGAGGAATTGACTCATGGTTGAGTGTTTGGTCGAATGGCATTTTGCTGGAGAACGTCGACGAAAATCGTAAACAAGTCACACGATTCTTTCCAATTGAGTCGTTGCATTACTGTGCAGCCGTTCGTCAAGTGTTGATACCGGAACGTGGCAATGCACAACCAGAACCAAAATTTTTGCCATTAGATTCACCATTTGCACGAACACCGAGAGCAGCGCATCCGCCAATATTTGCCGCGATTCTACGGCGTACCACTGGTATTAAAGTTTTAGAATGTCACGTGTTTATTTGCAAGCGGGAGGCTGCTGCAAATGCTCTAGTCAGATGTTGTTTTCATGCGTATGCGGATAATTCATATGCGCGTCAACTAGAAACATCGAATGGCAGTGTGTATGGTACGTTGGGCAAACCATCATCAAATGGTGGCGGCGGTGGCTTAAATGGCACCTCCGAATGGAGATCACGCGCTGGCAGTACGACGACATTAAATAGTGTTGGACAACGAATGCTAAATGGCAGCACCAACGGAACGATCACAAATGGCAACGATGCATACACGGTGAAAAATGGTGAGTACAATAGCCTCGCAACACAATCGATGCAGTTTCTTTTTTTTTTCATTCTCTCTCCCATTTATTCCCTCTCTTTCGCTTTGTCTGCCGTTCATGTAATTTTCATTCGATTAAATCAATTACAAGTTTGATTATTAGTAGTTTTAATGATTCCGAACGCGAGCATTAGGCAATCTCAAGTTGTTTGCACTTTAGGCAATTCGTTGATTTGTTTTGTGTTTGGGCGGAATGTTTACATTTTTGTAAAATGTCTTGGGATAGCGATCGCTTATAGAAAATGCGCTGCATGCGCCTCATGCATAAACATATCAATTTTTTTTTCGTTTTGAATAAATTATGTTTTATCTTGTAGTATACGCAAGCAGTGCGGATATTGATGTTGTTGACGAAGCTGGATCCATATACAATGGTGATGAAAACCACAAAGTCTGGTTGGGCTCACAAGATCGATTGAATGATATTGCAACGGAGAGCCCATACGATTTCTATTCGGGAACCGGTATGAATGGTAATTCATCGACGCTCGGACGAAATGCTCGTGCACGTCAAATTAGTGCACCAATTCCGGTGCCACCGCCACCCGAAACGCTAAAAAAGGAAAAGAAGCAGAAAAAATTGAAACAATCCAGTAGTCAAAGCTTATCGGGAACACTACGGCCGAAATCATCGGGCGTTTATACAAATGGTGGTACATTGGTTCGGCAGCAACATCACCATCATCATCACAGCAACGGTATGCCAATGCATCCACAGCAAATGCATATGCAACCAAATCATGGCCCGTATGCACCGTTGCCGATGCATGCTCAAGCATTGCCACCATCACGTTTCCATACGTTCAGTCATCGTGGTTACGCAAATGGTATACCGCACAGTACATCGGTTCCGCATTTGCATATGATCCATCACCCGATGCATCCCCCACCGATGCAAATGCCAGTCATGTTGCCGCAACAATACGCTACACTCCAACACCCGAGCAAATTGAAGTCGAAGAAGAAAAAAGATAAAATGCAAATTCCATTGGGCATTCCAGTGCCGCCGCCGATTTTCGCCTATCCACCGCCAGCCTCAATGATCCACGGCGAACCAAATGGAATGAATCGTCCGCTGGCCATGAGCAATCGAAAATTGGCCCAATCGGCTGGGGCTGGATTAGATGATTCTGGGAATTCGGGCGCTGAATCACCAGGTGAAACTGGCACTGGCATCTATAGACGCAAAGGACATTTGAACGAGAGGGCATTTAGCTACTCAATACGACAAGAGCATCGAAGCCGATCACATGGCTCACTCGCTAGTCTTCAATTCAACAATCCACCTGATGTGAAAAAAGAACGTGAAATCGCACAAATGATGGCTGGCTTAGACATAAACGATGATGCAACCATCTACAGACGCTCACAACCACAAATGAATGGCGGCGGAACATTTGGCAAACGCAAATAAATGAAAAACAAGCTAATAGGAAAACACATATCAGCGCGTGCGCGCGCGCGCCTGCTAACCAACAAATCGGGCGGCTGGCTGTTCAATCGTTAACACACAGTTGCCAATCAACTTATCTCGCTCGGCGTTTTCTTTTTGTTTTGCGCCAATGCATAGCCACTGTTGATGCTGCTATTGTGTGTCGAAATCTAATGTGTTCGGTGTGCAAGTGTTTCTTTCTATAGACACTTCTCATTCGAATCAATTTACATTGAATAATGCGTTTTATGTAAATAGCGGTAGGTTTTCTTTTATATTCAATAATTTCTGCTCGTTTTTAAATTTGTTTTTCACATGTTTTACTCTCTTCCCTTTTTAAACACCATTTTGTTAATCTTATTTTTTTAAATCCTCCATTTACGGATGGTTGAAGTAGGAATGAACGAAGAAAAATCAACATTTATAAATTTTTGTTTAATCCAAGAGATTTAAATCCAAATTGCTTGAGACGCAGCGCAGCAATTACGGAAATGAAAATTACTACACATAATTAATGTTATAATTGTCAACAATAAAACGAGCGAAATTCACTCAAGTATAAACGGAACAAAAAGATTCGCTGACGCGATATAATGAATTAATAAATTTGTATATTTTAAGATAATCATTAACAATTTTATGCTTGTTTCGTATTCGTGGCGAGAATGTGCGAATCATAAAAAATGAAACAAATTGAATGAAAAGCGAAATTGAAACGAATCCATTGCGGATAGAAAAAAAATGTGTGTGAAGCATATGAATTCAGGCAGCTCCAAAAACCAAACCGGATGAGAATTTCAATGCAACACTGAAATGGAAACTATACATTTTTTTTCGTACCACAACGCATGAAAAGTAGCTATGCCATTTTTTTCCTTCGCTGTGTATTTGTGTGTGTGCTTTGAGCGGTTGTTCCGCTTGAATTCAAATTATTCATTACGTCGTGCATTTTTTTTCCTATTTTTGTTCGCTTTGATTCAATGAAAAGAAAGAATTTCAAGTACATATCGTATGCAACTTCATTGAACACAAAAGCAACGCGCAGAATGAAAAAAAAACACACACATGAATAATGAATATGAAATTTATCATGTGTGTGCGTTTGGCGATTTAAGCAAGCGTAGTTTGGGCTTTCGCTGGCTCACGCGCGCGTACCCAAACCGCACAGACATAATATAAACGAGTGCAGAATCGTAAAATAAGCATAATATTTGGATTTCAGACACACAAAATAAAAGCAACAAACTAACCAGTCGGTTAATAAATAAACAAATGAAACACAGAAGAAATTGTACGTACATCAACCGAGAGAGAGAGAGAGAGAGAGAGAAAGACGAGGAGAAAAAAGTGGTGCTGTGAACCATGTAAACGGAATAGATAAACAACAAAAGTCGTCGATTGCTTTAGAGCGCATTGACTATGTCAAAAGTGACACATAGTAAATTGTGTGGCGAGATGGAGATAAATTTTTGCACATACGTTACGTTTTTTCCCCCTTTTGCGCAATGCACAGTGTGTGTGCGAACGGTACAATAACAGCAACAACTGAAAGAAAATCAGCAAGTCAGATCGGTTTGAATAAAATTGCGATTTGATTAAGCGACACTTGTGTGATTTGTAAGTGCAGCATAACAACGAAATCGTTAACTTATTATGCAATTCCGTTCGATTTTTTGCTCTTTCTCCCTCTCTCTCTCCGCTCGATGCTTTTTTCCGCGCGCCAAACTATTTCGCAAGCATTTTCTTTCTCCTCTCGTCTCGTCATCATCATCAAATCAGCCAAGTGAAAAACTAATTTTTCAAACTGCTCATTCACAATTGATTGCAAATCGCTTGAATTTGTGCAGTGGCTTGTGCGCGCTCACCAACTCGCTCGCGCTTGTTTACCGTTGTGCAAACGACTTTCTTACAACATCGTTTATTTGGCCTGGCGAGTGAAAAATAGCAAAAATTCCAAATCGACACTTTCATATCAACTTCGGCTAATTATGCGCATCAGTAGACATGTACGATCTGTATGTCCGTGCTCGTGCGATCGCTTCACGTTCATGGATATACTGCTTCTGCTGCTGCTGCCGGGCCAATTATAGCATTGCAATTGTGCGACAACCAAACGTTGGCCAATGTCCCTTGCCAATATTTTCTATTTGGTTTTTATTTGGTGGAGTGACTTTGGTGGCTATCGCCAATTATAGTTTTTATTGATTCTTCATTTAAAGGCATTGCAATGTTCAAATCAATTTGTAGCGAAATAGGCAGAGTGCGCGCGCGTGCACCTCAAGTGCAATGAAACTAATCGCTTCGTTAAAATATTTCGATTGCATACGCATTTCCTGTCCCATTTGACAGGAAGCATCAAGATCCGGCCTGAGTGGAATTTTTTTTGCCTAATTCAAACACTTTCCGCATAATATCTAATTGACTGCACACATCATCACACTTCCACTATCGACTTTCGGATTCAGTTTCGCTGAACGCTTGGTTTTTTTTCGTTTCGTTTCGTTTTCCTCCCAGTGCGTTTCAAAACCATGGAAATACCGCACACACACACACACAAATATTCCATGTTAATCGTTTATAAATATGAAATAGATATTTAATGGCATAGATGGAATTTTAAAAGGAAACATTAATCGCAATTAAATTTATTATTATATATGTTTTTGTAATTGTTGGAACAGTGTTGGTTAATGATCATCAACAAAAAATTATTATATTATGTGCCTTACTAAAAGCTAGACGAAAATTCTTTCAAATTTATCCACGTTGATAGTTCATTTGAAATTAATTTAATGTTTGTCTGAAACCACAAAGAAACGCAAAATTTTATTATTTGTAAATTGTGAAAAAAATAAGCCTAAGCTTGTGAGCAAACGTAAGAGATAGACAGAGAAGGAAAAAAAGCTAATGTTAACAAAGTAGATAATCATTTCTTAAATACTCTGAATCGAAACTAGTAATAAAGAAGAAGAAGAAGAAAAAGAAGAAAAAAGTACGAATCAACGGAATATAGTCGAATCACAACGCAAAATGCCAAAAACGGTTGTCTGTGCGCACCCGATGTCTGTCTTTGGCATACGGCGAGAAAAAATGAAAGCGAAAAAAAAAATATAGACAATACCATTTTTCATTGACCGTCGTAAATTGTAACGGACTTTCTTCATTAGCGATATACGAACGTAGTGTTTTATTTTTCTGTATATTTTCTTTTTAAATCTTATCTAGAGATATTTTTTTTATTTTCATTGTAATATTTGGCCCATATTATTATATATATATATATATACTCCTTATCTTCTTGTAACAATGTATTCGGAAATTTATTCACAGTTAAAACTAAAACCGCTAAACTCTAAAGACAATAAGCCAAGAAACGATTGAGAGAGAAAGAGAGAGATAAAATATTATCGATATTAACTGGATGTATTTTAATTTGTGTATTCGTGGTCACGTTATCTATTATGTTAGGAACTTGAATAATGCGTCCGTTTTTGTTTCGTTATTGTTGTTGTTTGAAATTTTTCTCTCTCCAAGAAACTCATTGTTCATTCAGATGTGTTTTTCTTTCGCAGTTTTGGGTGAAAGCAAGTTATGCATATGAATATGAGAATGAATGCAAATTCACGATAGATACCAACCGACACAGACACTATATATAAATTCAAAGACGACAAAATTGCTCGTTGTGGTTTTTCGAAACGAATGAGCTTAATTTGGCTTGGAAAAGAATGTTTCTTTTGTGTCTTTTTGTCT